GTCCTACCAGTACCACTAGTACTACTGGTGCTACTAGTAGGACTACTACTACTACTACTACTACTACTACTACTACAGCTACTATTACTACTACTACGACTACTACTAGTACTACTCCTACTCCTACTCCTACTCCTACTCCTACTCCTCCTACTACTACTACTACTACTATTACTACTACTGCTACTACTTCTATTGTAGGCAGAGCTTGCCATCGAGAACGAGATTCGGGGCCTGCACTCCTCAATCCGGACGGAGCAGGCAGGAGGGTGGAAGTTGTTTCTGCAGCATTCAGAGTTTGTCCCTGCCTCAGGAAAGGCACGAGCAGCTTTGTGCCCTTAGAGCTGGTGGCTCAGTGCGTCTGAAGCCTCGGAAGTCTGCGAACAATGAATCTCTTCCTTCACCAAGGATCGGAATGACAAGGAGATGCAGTACCTGCAGTCTCAGATGACGAGTCTGAAGCAAGAGCGCGAAAAGCTCATGGACCAATATTCCACTCTCAACAAGAGTCGCTCGGCTGCGGAGTCACAGTTTCCAATCTTCCCATGTCAGGCACAGGCATCACTTTGCAAAGGAATCTCAACTCGACATGCGAAGGCATGGATCAGCATCTCGAAGAGACGCAGAAGCTCAAAGCTGGAATCACCGAGCAGACTAGATCCATGGAAGTGCTCGACCGGAACATGCAGACTGTGTCCCGCGAGATTACCGCCATGGTTGGAAAGATTGAAGAGGACTGGTAGAGAGCAGACGCTGCCGTACAACTGACTGAAGCAATCGTCAGACGTCAGAAGATTTGTAGATCATCTATGTGACATGAAAATGGCTGGACTAGTCTTGTCGCAGCAAGATTTTCCACAATGTTGCATTGTCGATCCGAAGGAACAGAGCGAGCAGACCACGTGCGAGCGTGTCACGGCCAACAGCTTCGGGCTCGGAGAGTCTCCGTCGTAGGCGCTTTTTTTTTTTTTTTTTTGCCTGTGCTGTTTTTGCAGATTTCCGGGTATCCGAGGCCGGAAGAGGATGAAGAAGATTCGAGAAGAGATAGCTGCCAAAGAGGTCGGTTTCTTTGTTTTTGTAATCCATGGAGTGGTCCTGGCTCAAGTACCTACATGCAGGGTAGCAGCGGCTTGCACTGACATGGTGCAGCCATGTGCAGCCTTGAGTTGTGCTCAGGTCGAGACACAGAACCTCCTCAATGAGATCGCACGTGTGACTGTGGATAGCTTGAACACCAAAGCACACAACCAGATGTTGAAAGATCGACACAAGCAGCTCAGCCGTTGCCCCAGAACCCGAAGCCTGCTTGCCAGTAGTTGCAGTCCTGTTCCTTTTTCCGGACTCTCGTCTGCAGGCGACGAGTTGGCAGACAGAGAAAAGCTCATCGAGCAGTATGAGCCTTGCGTGCACCGATGGAAGTCACTTTCCCGATCCGCAGTGGATGTGAAAAAAGGGTATTTCAGAGCCTGCTTGCATTCCCATTGTCGAGGAGCAAGAAATCCGCAAGCGGCATCACCAGATTGAGAAGAAGCAGTTGTTCGTCGATCGCCTCAACAGAGAGTATGACGAGAAGAGGCGTGCTTTCTGGCTGAGCTGCAGCAGCCCTGAGGTGGGGCTTCCTTCGTCCTGCAAAGAAGCACCCACTGTGCAGGACGAAGTTGGAGGCAGAGCTTGGAAATGACGAGGATGTGGCTGGGCCCCAGGAAGCAAAGCTGAAGCATATGCAGTGCCCTCAGTTGAGGTGCTTTGCACATGACTTCAGCTGATCAGTCCGAGAAGTGATATAAGCGGACGGGTTTTGGACCAAGGAGAAAAGCCATAAACGAGCTCACAAAAGAGTGCTCAGAAATGCAGAAGGACACTTGCTGCCATTGTCTGCACCACGAATCTGTTGCGATTTTCGGCCCGTTGCGGGACGTTGCCATGCTTGATTCACATGCAGAGGACTGGATCCAGAAGCAGACCCAGCTCTTGTCCATTTCCAGCGAGACGGACAAGCTCAAGGCCCAGCCTAAAAAACTCAGCCTCCAAGCCCCAAACTGTGACTTCTCGCGGCCAGAGTACCACAGCTTTTTTTTTCGTGACTCGGATGGAAGCAGGCCACGCTGAATGAGAACAAGAACAAGAAAATGGTCTTGGAACAGTTCTCCCGGCATGTTTGAGTACACCCAAGAAGGGAGAAGGGAGGGAGACTCGGTCATGTGTTCATGGCCAAAACCACTTCTGCATGGGCTTCGACAAGCTCGTCCAGGAAGAAGCTCAGAATAGAAGGCCAGCTCTCCAGCCACGAGAAGGAGATCAAAGAGCTCGACAACAACATGAAGCATCTGCGCACCTTTTCGGCATCTGAGTCGCTGAAGAAAAGGGCTGCTGTCGGTGCACGTGACGTGATTTTTGCACAGGTTTCGACATGGATCGCATGAACAGCGCGCTGGTGAAGAATGAAGCACGATCTGGTGAGATCTCAAACACGAACCAGATGATGGAGACCGAATTTGTTCAGAAGCTGAAAGAGATCGAGAACAGGCTGATGTTTTCGACTCTTGCTGCGATTCCAGTCCTCCCTTGATTGCGTTTGTTCGTTGGCCAGGTGTCTGGACATGGCCGCTTGGCTGGGTGCAGAGCCGGCAAGTCGATCTTGCATGATTCAGCCGCAGCTGAGGAACGAGATGTGGAGAAGCTGAAGCTGGAGAAGGACCAGATGAACCAGGATATCCTGGAATCTGAGCGTCAGGCTCCCCACTGCAAGCAGAGTTCTGCATCAGAAGTACGACTCTTTCGTCTTGCCAGGTCCTTCTTTGGGAACGCAAAATTACGCTCGAGAGGGAGATGCACCTGGGATGCTGTCAGTTCTGGCAGAAGAGTACTGGACCAGCCCGTGTTGCACGACATTGCACTCCGTCGTGCAGAGCTTTTTGCTCAGAGCCCGAGCTCGCCAGCGCAGTCTGGCAGCCTGCATGATCCCGTCGACCCCACTCCCGGCTACTCCATGTTTCGAAACTCCGAACATACTGAGGCAGGCAGCACTGGATCCCAATGTTGGCCAGTCGGATGCTTCGGCCATGAAGAAGGAACGGTTCGCACTATCAGGTAAACAGAAGTCTGGCGAAGCATTGTGGATGTTAGTGGGGCGTAGTACTCCGAGCCATCAGTCCGCACATCAACAACTCGAGCCCCGATTGGGTCACAAACATGCGAGTTTGTGCGGGTATCATGGGTTTTTGATACTGTTCGCACCGAAGCTCGCAGTCTGCAGCCGCCCTGTCCAGTGCGCCATTTCCGCGTGAATTTTTGATTGGTGTAAGAGTCCTGCAGTCGTGCACCGGACATTTTGGATGACGAGCGACGAGTCTGGTCCTGACGACAGGAGATCCACCGCATGGAGCTGCGACTTGAGCAGTTGAAGCGGCGGCAGGACGAGGGACCAGGTGTTGGGTTTGGTCACATGTTTGTGTGTGAGAGTTTGCTACTTCTTGGGTTGCCGGGGGGTTTTGTAGGATGTGGGAGATGCTATGTTGGCAGGGATCAAATGCCATTTGATCTAGGAGGTCTGCAGATCAGCGAACCTGGAGGAGCAAACGATCGTTGAGATGGAGCGAGCCATCCACAAGCGTGATGCCATTGCCCTCAAGCTCGAGCCGAAGGAGGGGCAGAGGGGGCAACTCTCTGGTTTCGGGGGGGTTCCTGGGTGAGATGTGCGATCTTGCAAATATAGGCCGTAGAGGCCCTCGACACGATGAAGTTTCAAATCCACAAACCTGCAGTTCCTGCAGACGTAGTGCGTGGCCATGGGCATATGAGAGGGCGGGCATGTGGAATCTGCAGCGGTGCACCGCAGGCGCAGAAAACCAAGAAGGCAGCTTCTGCTGCCAACGTCAAGCGGCAGCTACAATCCCTGCGCAACAACTTGAAGTTGTGTGACCTGGTGCATTCTTGTTACTTGTTTGTCCGTCCACGTCACCCGAAGAGTGAGTGCGCAGTCCATCGTGATGGGTGTGGGCACTTTAGCTGGAACAGTGGGGCTAGCGGCTACATGTAGCACAATCGTAGAGTCGGAGGTGTTGTCATCAAGTAAGTGCAAGATGTATGCCACACACACCTTCCATGTAAATGCTAATGGCAAATATGACCACAACAGTGCCGCCGACGCCACGGTAGCAACAGCAACAAGAATAACCACCACTCCGCTACGACAGCGACAACCACAACGACAACCACAGCAGCAACCACCACGACACCAGCAGCAGCAGGCACGACAAGAGCAGCATCAAAGACAACACCGTCAGCAATAGCAACAGCCACAGCAACAGCCACAGCTACAACAAAAGCGGGGCGACAGCAACTGCAACAACAACAACAACAACAACAAACTCCAAACTTAGATCTTGTGCTGCTACGGCTACTTATTCGTATCAGCTTCAGTTATTCCTATTAGTGTTACGGCTATTGGCACCGTTACGGTAGTGCTAGTACTAGCACTCGTACTCGTACAAGAAGTAGTGGTACTAGTAGTCATAGTCGTCGTCGTCGTAGCAGTAGTAGTAGTCGTCGTCGTCGTAGTCGTAGTAGTTGTTGTTGTCGTCGTAGTAGTAGTAGTAGTAGTTGTTGTTGTTGTAGTCGAAGTAGTAGCAGAAGAAGCCGTAGCAGTAGTTGTTGTTGTAGCTGTCGCGGCAGGAGTTGTGGCTCTTAGTCCATGTTACAGTCACCGCATGCGTAGACCTTGCCCCGCTCCCCTCTTAATCGGTGTCCCCACCGTGGCCGGAAGTTTGTCCTCGGCATCTAAGCTCCTGCCAGGAAACGGGCGTGCTCGAGTTCCGGAGCCACTTTGTCACTGAAAGTTACGGATGGTGGGGCAGTTTCGACCTGGACGCAAAGATCTCCTAGGTCCTAACAAATTAGCAAACCTCTGCGTCTCTCTCTCTTGCTTCGTGCAGGACCTGCATGGAGGACGAAGAACGAAGACAGGTCTGAAGACAAAAAGTGAGCTGCCCTTCCTCAGCAGCGCTTGAAGCCGCTGCGTCTCTGTCCGCTCCCGTGACCTCGGCGTGGCAGCAGTTGCTTCCAAGCGGGCTTGGTGCAACGAGCTCTGATGGTCGTTCAAGAACTTGGGGCCACAACTTCGACACTTCAAGCCTTCCCTCTACTTGCAACTAACCGTCAAGGCGCCCCAGTCACTTTTGCTGGGATCCCGGCTCCCGGCTGGGCGCCGGCGCAGCGCGCGCCTGGGCCGCCTGGTGCTTCTGCGCTTGGCCGCCACGGTCTCGGTGGCGCGGCAGTGACTTCAAGTGCAGCGGGCAAGCCGCCGTTGATGACAACGATAGCCGACAGCAAACACTGCATGCAGTCATGGGGTACACATACTGAGAATGGCAACGACTGCAATATTGAGACTGCGTCCAAGACGATCATGTTGCTTACAGATACAATCACGATGGTGATCTCGATGTTGAAGACGATGACGGTGCCGCCAATTTCGGCGGTGAGGATGATGATGACGACGACGACGACGACGATGATGATGATGATGCGGATGAGGATGAGGATGAGGATGAGGATGAGGATGATGATGGTACAATGGCCTATGCTGATGATGACGGTGATGCTGATGCTTCTGGTGGTTTCAGTGATGCCGACGAAGAAGGGCCGCGAGGACACGGATACTGATGAGTCGAACACGGCTTGCAATGATAGATGATTAGGAGCAATACTCGGGAAATCTCGGGAAGCCTTTAAACAAATTTGCGGCGTGATAAACGAAGGTCTGGGTGGCGTGCGTTTTTCACCATGCGTGCTCGAAGCAGCGGAGCTGCTCTCCTGAAGGACAACTTACCCAAAAGAGCGCTCGGCCAAGAAACTGTCAAAAAACACTTGTTAACGTGGCCCCTGGCAACCCACCCACACTGCAAATGGCTAGCCTACACAATCTGCAGAACCTTGACAGGTGCATACGTGCATCCGGTGGAAACGACAGCCTTGAACATCGCCAGAGCCACATGTGACAGAGGAGTTATGCACTCTACAATCCTTCTGCTCTTTCTCCTTCACCACCGGCACCTGCAGCAGATGCAATCCACATCGTCATTCAAGCTACTCCTTCGAACCCTGTCAAAGCAAACAAAGGCTCTGCCAACCCATTGTAGCCACTATACTGTATTATATACTCCCCCCCTATACCCCGAAAACCCTAACAACTGATCCAGAATCAAGAAACAGGACCACCTCGAAGTCAATCGTCACTGGGAGAGGGACCTGCCAGGCCCAGCAGCCGGAAACGCGCCCGTACAAGTCTGGGTCTTGTTGAGGAACTTAGTTTAAGTTACCTTAGAAGGGATCCATAGTAAATAGTAGGGTGTCCTTATCATGGTGACTTAAGTTAGGCTCCTGAACAAGAACCCAGAATACATATCCGCAAGACGGCGTGTAAGCTGATGGTAGGATTTTGAACTTCCCAAGAAGGACCGAAATTTTAGGGTTTGAGAGTTTAGGGTTTGGGATGTAGGTTCCTTGATCAGCTTCCTTGCTTGAGGACGGCGCTTGCTTTGTCAGCTGCTGCACTTCGTCGAGGCTCCGATCTGCAACGTCCTCCCCCGCAACGGCAGCTACCTGCAGCCGGTTGAGGGTTTCGGGTTTAGGGTTTCAGCAAGAGCTGCATTCCAGCCGGTGCACATGAGAGCAATGTTGGCGTAAGCTTGCCTGCACACTGCCCTGCAACTCAAGTCGGCGATGTAGCTGCCTAAGCATCCGGCGATCCAGCCAGATTTCACCCCGAGTCGGGCTGCGGGTTTTGAAGGATCATTGTGGTTCACCTGAGCCGGTAGTACAGACGTCACGGAAGTGCTTTCAGGGAACCGGCCTACACGTAGGAGGAACCCATGAAGTCTGTGACTCTACCCCGAGTTGCCCAGGCTAGACTCAAAACCACACAAGGCAGGGCATCGCGCACCTTCTCCACAACATAGCCAGCAGTTCGCCCCCCTGCCGAAGATCATACAAGGACGATCGCAACAACGCGGAATGTCTACAGACGACTCAGGCGAACTGATTCCAGCTCGCAGGCGACATACCGGAGCGATACACACGCCTTCTTCTTTGAAGGGCGTCATCCCAAACGGCCTTGTCTCGAAAGTTACCTCAGCTTTGCCGCCACGAAATCATACCATACGCTATACATCATACATAGGTTTGTAATGTCATAATTACACTATCCGATACCCTAAACCCTAAACCCTTATTTTGTTGTGCTACATCATCCAACAACCTAGCCAGCGGTGTAGGGCCGCTGCCGAGACCCGGCGGTTGGGTCGAGGCGCTGCTTTTGCCTAAGGCGTTGCTTCAGAAGAGGTGAGGAAAAATGGGTTGTTGTGAAGGAACTTCATTTCGGATACCACGATAGGGCCTACAGGGACCTATAGAGCAACAGGGAGCTGTTGCTTCTCATCATTTCCCGGCCTTCTCGTTCTGCAGATCTCGCGTGCGCTGGAACGCTTCGGCATGAAACCTCGAAGCTGCTGAAAGACCCACAGGCTCCCGGACAAAGTCCCCGAAGTCCCAAGTTTGCAAGGGCTGCAGCTGCTTTTGTCATGTTCAGACAGAAAATCTGTCGAAAACTTCGAGCCAACAGCTCCTTGTGACTGTCGGTTTGGACATGCGCAGGAAACAAAAATTCACTGCGCAGGTGAAAACCATCAGTTTAGTTGCTGAAGTCACTCTAGCGTGAAACATTTGTGCTGCCCTCGCGATGGCCATTTAGGCCACACCGCAGAGACCACTTCAGCCCAATGCCGTCAAGGCATCACTGACACCCGCGGCCTTGCAGACCACGGTCGAGTGCTTGATGTCCTGCAGGCATTCTTCGGGGTGGCTGTAAGGGGTATGGTTCAGATGTGATCGGAGTTCCTACATACTCATGCATGTTAGTACTAAAGAAAGCAGAATCAGAATGCAGGCACCGAATCCCACAAAAGAGCTCGGAGTGCGGGGGCCTTGCCGAGAGCAATCACCGACACACCGTCGGCTTGCCCGGACTCCATCACAACTGGGGGCAAAGCTTCCATTCCAGACAGATCCTGCAAAGAGTTGCTGCGGAGAAGCATTGCAATTGGTCTTGCTTTGCTAGACGCGTGTTGGCCACCCGTCCTTCATCTTCTGCCGGAGCTTGCCGGCAGATACTGCTGCCTCAGTGTAAGTCAACCATCGGCCACTGCCAAGCAGAGTTTGCCCTGTGCTCCCTGGGCCTCCCAAACGTTTCCGTGGCAGCCAACCACGAGAGCGACATCACCCTTGAGTTTCACAGCCTGGCAGTGCCGTTTCTGCGAGGCTCGATGTCCGGCCCCCATGTCCGGCCCTGAAACCCAAAGCCCAGACCTGTACAGGTGCTGCGGATGCAGATGCTGCAGGGCCATTGCTGCTCAAGGCGGCAACAGCCTCGGTAATGCCCTTCACAGTGCAAAGCACCTGCGATCAGCTTCTTGCAAGCTTGTTATGCAAAGACATGCCACGGCCACCTCGCCTTGTTGTTCTGCGTGAGGGACACCAACGAGACAGCATCTCCGTTCTTGTCGCCCTGACTTTGGGGAGAAGATAATATTATATAAGATAGTACAATACAATAAAATATGACATAATATAATACAATATGATATCTTGTTCGAAAAGCGCTTGGAAGGCCCCGCTATTTACAAGTTCCGGCTGGCAGCCCGGCTTGCTGGCTTGAAACTACAGCCTGCGGTCTCTCGAACTGAACTACAACGCTGCTGCGTCGCCTCCCTGCAACACCTCTGCAGCCTGCAGTTGTCTCTTCAACTCTCTTAGAATCTTAGAATCTTGCCTCCAGCAGCAAAGCCGGTGGCAAGTTGGAGCTGGTCACCTCCTGGCACATTCAAGGCCGCAAGAAATGCAAGGCCAACTCGGGACATGCGTCCATGCGGTCGAAGCCTTTGCCCGGAAGTTGCGTCAGTTGCTCAGCTTAAACAAAGCAGCGCAGCCAATCCCGAAACCCGTACAAAGCCCCCTACAAACTCTGCATCCGCTGGCCTGCACCTTCACACGCAACGCCTGCGAGGCAACAGCGGCCTCCCAGATGTTCTGGCCCTGCGAGCCAGGGCAAGCCATCAAATCACCAGCATCGCAGCCACCGGCACAAGTATAATGTGAAACTACGAGTCAACGAAGGACGACGGTACGGCTTGCGCCTACGATCCAAACAGCATCGTAGAAACGCTAGCCGCGAACATTGCCATCACCATCAACATCGGCAACACCACCACTATCCAATACCATCACACGCATCATCGTCGTCGTCAGTATCGTTGACATCCTCATCCTCATCATCCTCATCATCATCAGCAGCAGCAGGATCAGCATCATCATCAGCAGCAGCAGCAACAACAACCGCAACAACACCAACACCAACACCAGCGACCGCAACAGCAACCGAAACTGCAACAGCAGCAGCGGCGGAAGGAGCAGAAGGAAGGATGACTGTACACAAGAACAACGACGACGACGAAGCCCAACATCATCATGGGCGGTGGCAGCTCTTGTCGCTGAGATGCAGCGCATATTGATGTCACTCAAGGGTCAGTATTGTTGTTGCGACTATTCCTACTATTATTCCTACATTAGTAACTAGTATTATTTTCACCAGCACTTCAGCATTACTATGATCAGTATTTGTTACTATGTACTATTAGCATCTGTATCACATCGTGTCACCACCAGCCTTGCACGAGACCACCACGGCCAGGTCCTCACCCTTCGGGAGCGCCAGGGACGGGCCCTGATACTCAAGCGACGGATTCCCAGCTCCTTCGAACCCTTTCGTATAATGTAGTAGAATCTGGCAGATTATAGCATATAACCTACTTGTACATAATCTAGTACGTAATCTAGGGCGTAGTCTAGTGTGTAATCTAGTGTCTAACCTAGTGCATTGTGCATAATCTAGTATATAATCTAGTATGTAATCCGGTAATCGAGTATCCAGTACACGTTCTAGCATAAAGCCGAGTGTATCATAATCAATTTTATAACACCGTACATCATATAGCGAATACAATCGTTTATAATAATACAGTATCAAGTATATAGTACAGAATATGATGGTATGTTTCTACTAAGGCTCTTCATCGAGCACTGCAGGAGACATGCTGCCAACAACAATCAACAACAGAGAAGGGTTCATTCTCAACCCGAACATGGAGATCGCCGACCAAACATCCAGGCACCTTCGCCTCTGTCTTAGCCGCGTAGGAGGGTGCTGCCGGTGGAGGAGTCACGCCCCGTCGTAGCGGAATGCGGGCGAGGTGGACGCTGTGACGGGCCAAGTTCAAGGTATTCTTCATGAGCATCGCCTCAGACATCTACGGAAGGCAGAGCGTGCAGTCTAGTCCGAGGATGTCCGCGATGCATTTTCCATGCGCGAACCTGTCATCCTCCTCCTGCGCCTTCCCCTACTACTGCTAAACTTACTAAACAATCAGTCACACAAGTCAATCTGGCAAGATCTGTCGAACTGATCTGGGTGCTGAGGGTCAGGCGATGGTCATTGGACCTACACCACCCGGCACGGGAGTAATCTGCGATGCGACCTCATCCCAAGGCGACAGACTCATGAGTGATTCAAGCACGTCTGTTCGGATGAAGCCGAAACAGAAAGCGCGATGCAAGCGGAGTTCCCTCAAATTCCACTACACCTTCATAACACCCATGAACACGAAATGAGTCTCCAAGGCACTCCTTGGGCTTCCTTGTAGTTCACGTCACCGACCTCTCTGTGGCAAATATATAAATAAATATATATATATATATGGACGCTAAAGGAAGGCTATGAGCATGCACAGATGACATGGATGCATGTACCCAGGAAGGTATACCCAACGAGTGCTTCGTTCTGCCCTCAGCGTCCGAGAAAATGGCCAGACGATGCCCGAGCTTCTTCGTGGCGTCGTCAATCTCGGCACGTCGGTTCAGGTTTGAAAAAGGACACGGAAGTGTGAAAAGAGCTGCAAGACACGGATCAGAGCGGAGACAGACGGGGCACTGCATTGATGCCGACGTCGATGACAACACAGCCTGGCTTCAGCCAATCGCCACCTGACTGGCTCGAAAATGTCCGCAGAACTGTCAAAGAGCTGGAACCTACATCATGCCGACTCAGGGCGCGGCGCACGAATTCTGGCTTGCCAATTGCAGCGACTACCTAGGATGCACAAGCTTGAATTTTCGAAGAAGCGGATCACCGATGCACGCATCCCAATGCAATAGGAGAAGCCAGAAATCATCCAAGAGACGATGTCAGCTTGCTTGAGGAACAATTGCATGTCTGGTGTGCGCGAGTGGCACACCATCACCGTGGCATCCATTGACTGGAGGATTTGTGCCACCGGCATGCCGACGATGTTCGACCTGCTCTGAGGCACCATCCTTACGAAAGCCTTGCTCCAGGTTTACACCTGCAGAATAGGACAGTAGCACGAGTAAGAAGAGCAGTGGAGCCTAGAGGTCGGGGTCTCCACCTTCCTAATCGAATCCCCCGGACCTTCCCAGCACCACAGCCGTCTTGCCGGCCACTTGGACGTTGCTGCGCTGGATCAGCTCGATGCATCCCGCTGGAGTACAGGGAACCTCAGAAAAAAGCCGCTTCAAGGAGGTCACTGAGCTACAGTGGATGATACAAATCCTGCATTACCCATAATAAGGAATATACCAAAATTCCCTTAGTTTAGGGTCCCTAATGTAAATGTAGGATTTATATCATCAACAGTATGACAGCTTTGCCTCTTGACAGAATACTGGCAAGTCCTGCTACGGACTGCTACGGCTTTTGAGCGCGCTCTGGATCTAAGGTTTCTGTCTCTCTGCTCACGTTGCTGTGACTTTGGCCTGCTTTCTGTGTCGTTGCTGTCATATGACTCTGTAACGGTTTGTGAGCGCAAATGTTCACGTTGATGGTAAGAGTGACGGTGAGAGTCAAGTGTTTTTGAGAGTGAGGCTGAAAACGAGTCGATCACTGGCAGATGGAAGGGGTGAACCGGAGTTTGTAGCGCTTTCTAAATTCTCTGTGGCCAAAATGCATCCCCGACAAATGGATTGTCCCGACAGGATCCTCCGTAGCCACCGGAGGATGCAGACCTTTCCATTCAACCCGGTGAGGCCCTGGCCTAGGGTTCCGGTCTCCATTTTGCATTGCCCGAAGTCAAGCTGTGCATTGACAGCATCTTCGTAACCAGTCCTGCCACACCCCTCGGAAACTTGACCAGAGCTTGTCAGATCACGGCACACCGAGACTCCAAAAACCGTGGCTATAGTCGTAGTCGCAGCACCTGCTGACGACGACGATCGTGGAGGGATTGGTGAAACCATTCCAGAAGGGTAGTTCAGCGATTGGATATTGCATAATAAACCCACAAGTTATAGGGTTTTCAAGGCACGGGCCTGTTGACCTGTACATCATTGGTACGGTGGTTCGCTCGCTACAGCTTTTTTCGCATGCCTACCCATTGACGGTAGACTGATCTTGACTTCGGCTTGCCACACGGGCCTTCTGTGAACCCCAAGCTCTTGTAAAAGTGGATTGCCCGGGTGTTGAGAAACTCCAGCCACGCTGCCGAGAGGCATCGATGGCAGCCTGTACCAGCATCTTGCCTAGCCCGCATCCGCGGTAGGAGTTTTTCACCTTGAGGTAGCAAATCCGAACTGATTTGTCGTAGAACCGAACATGAACGTATCCACAGATGTCGCGTGCGCGTGCGTCAACACCGGCCAGAACGAACTCCAAGGCATCCGACCGCTGTGCGTCCGTCAGAAGCGCCGTCATGCGCTCTTGCGCGTCGATCTCCTCCTCTGACACACCTATAAAGGATGCCCACTCCCCCGGGCAGCATGCAAGAATGAGCTCCGGAAACAGATCTGCTTGGTTCTCGCAAAGCTCGCGCTGCAGGCCCCGGATCTTGGGGGCTGCTTTCAACGGAGCCGCCTGAACCACAAAATTGCTGTTGGCAGCATACACTGCTCCCTCTTGCTTGAAGATCTTGCCATTGTCGCCGTGCGGCTCCGATACAAAAACCCAGTTTCGCAAGAAGTAGTGCCCTTTGCAATTTTGGGCACCAACGCCCTTAAATTTCTTGTATGGTGGATCAGGTTGATCGTCTGAGCGACGTCTCTTGCGATTGATCTGCGGTGCGACACCACCCTGTGCCTCGGCAGCAAAGAAAGCGGCCCGAAAAATCGGATCGGCGTACAGCATTCGCCGGCGAATGGCTGTTGGACATTGGGTGCGATCCCAACCAGAGGAGCTGCACTGGCACAACACCTTTATATATTGCTTTCTACGAGTC